AACTTTTTGGGTACTACAAAATTGATTCTAACACGGGTGATGCTGTTCGTGTCGATCGCGGTTGCAAACTAATAGAAGGAGCCGAATATGACGTGCAAGTAGGTCAAATTTGCTTGCGTTTTATAGAGATCTTGTCACAGATGATTCTTTTAGATTCTGTCAAAACGCTACGAACATCCGTCTGTTAATGGTAGATTTGTTCGCAAGATATACACTGGTAGAAGTCCATCAAATAGCAGGTTGAAAAGAAACGTATGATTTAATTTTAATGTCAAATCTCTTTTCTTATTGTAGAATTTATGAAAATTGCATGATGCTCGCTGTAATGACCTATTATTGGAAAGGTGAGCCGGAATACTTTGAAGCTGGACCGCAGAGGAGGGTAAGGTTCATTGAATAATCGTTTTTTTTTTTTGCGAATTTGCAGTTATCTAAGAATAGTTCGGATTTGTTGTGTTGTTGTTTTTTTCAGCAAGCAATCATTAGTCTCCTTTTCTAGGTAAGAATTCCAGAAGGAGCAGAACGCCAACGCCTTATTAATCAGATGTATGCGGGTGACACAGCACCCCCACTTCTTTCAGGTGTGTCTTTTGCGATCTCCATTTCCCATACTGCTGTAACCAGCTCTGTTGTAGAGCTTGATTCTAATGTTTTGGGAACTTAAATTCTTTTATTATGTTTCTTTGCTGTTAGTTCTGCCATGTTAGGCAGTAGACAGCGATACAAAATTTTTTGTCACTCCATTTTGTTGGTTAATTCTATTTTTTGTGCTCACTTTTTACCACTCCAAAAGTGCGATGTTAACTTCCAAACTTCCTTACCGGATTTAATAAGTTCTAATTTTGAAACCTTTTCGCACAATGGTACCTCATCCTTTCTTCCCATAAAAAACCTGCCAGCCTGCAGAAAAAATGTGTTGGTGAGTATGCCTTGTTTCATGTGATTTATAGTAGTGTAATGCGGTGCATGTTTGCCAAAAGTAGCCTTTTCGAGTTGTTCAACAACATCTTCTCTCAGCATTAATAAGGCATGCACATAACCGTCGAAGGCGACTTTGGTTATGGTATAAGTATATCGGCAATAAACTTGATTTTAAGCAATTAAGAGTACTTAACGCTATTTCAGTAACTTGCTAACACCATTTTAAGCACCGACTGAG